CCTAATTCCTGCAACAGCAGCCACGAAAGAAGAAAAAGAGACTGAAAGACTGACTACGAGGTCACAATTTCTGATTGAATTTGCCCATGTTAACTCGAAATTAAGGGCTTACATACTCAGTTCCAGTTGGAGATGCCATCATCCACAAAGCCGCTATTACGGTCAGTCATTTTCTTCCAACTCACAGGCAAGTTCTTGGACCTACTGAACTGGGGTCACACATTCAAAGAGTAGTTCTGCTCTAAAAGGGAGAATGTTGAAAGAGCAACTCCAGCAACTACAATGCACATGCCTGGGGCTGGCTATAAAAAGCATCTAGAAGCACAAGTGATCAGGTGGCATCCCCAAATGAAGCCTTATAAACCTGTGACAACAGCAATGGGGAAGCTGTAAAGTGATAACTGTGTATTTATGCCACATTAATTACACATCAGCTCTGTTAGCAGCTCATATCTTGTCTTAGAAGTGCTGCTCCAAGCCATTTTCACATAAAAGATCAGAATTAAATAAGGTCCTAAAATTGCAGAGGAAAGAGCTGGGAGAGACTCTGAAAAGCCATCTCACCCTCAGACCCTACATACAAAGGCACACCCAGCTTGGGCATTGTGGAATGAACTTTTTACATCTACTCACACATGAAGAGCTCTGACTGTGCTTTCTCTAATGTAACCAACACACTAATTTCGAGTCGCATGATCTGCCTCTGGGCTCTTTGCATACAGTGCTTAGGTCACACCTAGGCAGCAGGACACCACAGAAGGTGAAGATGCTTGTAGTAAGAGATGCCCTGCAATTATGCAGTCCTTTTACAACACTGTCTTAGTACTTCACAGACACTTTATCATAAGTCTCAGAATAAACAGAGATATCTGGGCAGTTGTGCAAGATTGATCACTGAACATGCTACAAGGTTCAAAACTACAAATTCTTCAACTTCTACAGTCATAGGTAACTCTTTTCCAAAGATTTCTCTGGGACAATTCTGGGATTGTACTACTAGCTTTGAAATCTGGGACCCAAGGAAAGCTTAAATCTTTTGCAACCAACTTCCTGTGGTTCTTAATTTGGGGATAAAATTTACACCGGCTTCCCTGTCAAGAGTGCAGCAGCATGACTTTCCCACAGGAAGCATGCTACCTGTCCTTCACACTGTAACTACATAAATAAAGGCAACATCTAGAAAAGGAACGTTACCACACAGCTACATCAAGGTGCACATGAAAATTCCAATGTTAGCAAGCTTGGACTTCTAAAGTCTGTTCCGTCATGCTGGATCTGGCTGTTTTCATTTGTAATGGTTATGGCAGTTTCAGCTAGCACATTAAGGATCCTGTTTCCAAAACAGCTATTCTTAAAGTTAAGAGTAGAGCAGCCTGTGTCTCCACATCTTTTCATCCAGCAGTCCAGCTGGAATTATAAAGAGAAAATATGCTTTAATGATAAAAATACAGATGCAGAAGACAGGAAATGCTGAAGAAATTTCAACCAAAGACAACCCTCAAGGGACCCATCAAAATGCCTATTCTTCCATAGACTGCAAGAGCTTTGTGATCTCTTGCCATGAAGTTACTATTTATTTTAACACGTTTTTTTCCAGTCAAAACTTGTATGAAATTTAAAACAAGGTCGTTGAACTCAATACATAAAATCCCACTAAATCACATTTGATTAGGACTCTGGGAATAACTCATTCTTTGGATTCATGAACAAATGCGAAAAAAAAAAAATCAGCCCAAACAGACCTAAGATTGAATGTTGCTATACTGATTTTCTATCAAAGCAACAAAAATCCACGTTGTTCTATTTCAGGTATTTTAACAAGTACAAAGCAACAATTCACCACCATTACACCAAAACTGCACTAAATGCAACATCTCACTCCAAAGGAAAACACAAAAGGAGAAGGGAAAATCAAGTGGAATATGGACTTAGGTGAGTACTATTTATCTGGAAGAACACCAGTAACTAGGAGAAAGCCTTGCTTTCCATTTTAGCTGAGTTTACCTCAACTTACATCAACCTCATTTTACATCACCTCAGTTTACATCAATGGATGATTTCAGGCAATCACCTTGACATCAACCAACCACTGTTTATGGATTAGGATAATGACAACTTGGCAGCTTTTGCACTTCATCTGTAGCTAATGGTGTGGTAAAATTCATGGTGCTTTCCTTCAATTTGAGCAAAAACAATAACCTCAAAATGTGGGTCCTTAATAAGAAGACTACTGCCTCATGCCTCAGGCAGCTTTCTACAGCAATGGCATGGGCCTGGGGAACAGCAGGTTGGATAGAACAAGCCTGATAAAAATCAAAGAAGGAACTGAACTTCTCACAGGAGCCTGTTTAGCTCATTTTCCCCAAGACAGACCGAGGCTGGGAACCTTCACAGTATCAAAGCCTGAGGCAGATTATTTGCTTGACTATAGTATCCATCCTGCTTCTCTCTAGAGAACATGGGGGCAAACATAACTGTGCGAGTCTGAATTCCTACACAGACCTCACCAGGGCTTGATCGAGAAGCAGCAATGGTGCTATGCTGGTGCATCATACCTTCCCTGAAACCACTGAAAGACCTGGAATGCACGTAAGAGGATACAATTCCTTCAGCATAGCAAGGAAATACAAAGGAGGGGAGTACTTTGAGCTAGAAAAAGCTGACCTGATATCAGGGAAAGATTGCATTTTATGCCAGGCACTGAGCAGAAGAGTAACAGCACTATTATGTGTAAGAATATTTCTGTCTGACAGGACAGGACATGGCTATGTCCTAACACCTGTTAAATCACACTCATAGATTCACTTGCAAAGAAAAGTCCCTTTTCCTCCCTGGTTACACCAAAAAGTACATAGGAGCACACTTATAGCAATGTAAGAAATCCAGTTTCTGATCCCTGTTCTCCCTAAAGACACCTGAAGTTACATTTTCCACCTTTAAGTGCCCAAAAAAATTAGGTATTCATTATTCTTTCAGATGAAGGAGGTCTACTTAAAATATTTTAATATTTATAAGAGTGCCCTAACAAGCTGTGTTCACTCTCATGGCCTCATGAATATTTAGAGATACTTATGAAGAGGAACAGCTTAACCTGAAGATATGCACCTCTGGTCTGTGACCAATTACAGGAAGATACTATTCTCAGTGCATGTATTAACCACAGTCTCCCATTCTGAAAACTTTTAATAGGGTGAGACACATTTTCCTGTATCACTATCTTGAGACTGTTACCCTTACTCCATATTTAAGAGTCTTTTCTGGTCCAAAGAATATCAGTAGTTTTGCTGAAACCAGAATAATAAAATATGCACAGACCATGAGTCAGAGAGGAGGACTTTTCTATGCACAAGCTAGATATCTTTGTGGAACACAGAACTTCCCTTGAGAAGTAAATTTTGAGAGAAGTGAAATCATTTAGAAAAATTGCATCTCCACCATAGCACTGGGTAAAGACTTTTCCGTGGCCTTAAGAGACAGTCACCTCTGCCACTTCCCTGCTATCCTCCAGGGGGGTAGAAGAGGCCAGAGGCAACATACGTTTTCAGAAAACAATTTTTAGTCATGCTTTACACCACCAAAGACTGCACTTGACCTAGATTTGGTTCAGTGTCAACCACACTCTAAGCAACTACTACTAGCAGCTACTATTTCATGTCCTGTCTGCTCCATAATCTCCCCAGTAGCCTAAGAAAGATCTAAACTTACTGGAGAACAGTAGAACTGGCCCTTTTATCCATGGCTTGCTGGTGAAAAAAATGTACAAATCAGACATTAAATCACCAAAATTGTCATGACAGCTTAGTTTTAGGTTACTTCTCTTGCAATGACACCAATTAAAAAGATCCTACAGAAAATAATTTACAACACAGCAGATTTCTATCTCTACCAGACTTATCTGCCAAAATGGAGGGGGGAAAAAAAGTACTAGATCTTCAAGAAAGTTGCAAAAGACCATCAAGAGACTAGAAATGAACACTTATTCAGCCCTGTAATATTTAGTGATCTATTTCTTAATCTGAGCAGTTCACAATAGGTAACAGACCTGCACTTTTTTGGAAAAGAGCAGGAAGCATCGTGGGACACTTGCACGATGCCTTAACCTTTGCTACGCCAAGGGCCTATCACTTGCCACTCGGAGACTTTCCCTGTAGCACTGCAGTCTTTTATTTGCAAGTTTGCAGTCTTTCCCTTATACACTGACAATGTTTTCATCCTTGTCCTTCTGTCCTTGTCCTGCTCTCCCAGCTCTGCTCTGCACCTGCAAAAGCCAAGCCTGTTATGTCAGGTTTCGCACAGAAATTAGTTGACATTGATGCGAGAATCTCCCTTTCCCCCCCTCACCCTTTCCTACCCCTATTTTGTAACCTAGTGAATAACAGGGTAGACAGTAGTCCTTTAAACAGTGGACAAGCATTTCCCAGTCACATCTATCACAAAGCCTAACAGTCAATTAACATGCAACTCTCACCCCTGATGAGAGTGTGCTCCAATCAGCACTAACAGCATCATAGGCAGGAACACCCAGCAGGGAGTCCGAGCAGGTCCCAACGAAAACTATACAGTTATTATCAGAAAAATATTATGGCAGACCACCTGCCACACTAGAGAGGATACCCAGGGGAGAAGGGTCACTTGTAAAGATCCCTGAGATTATTTTTTTCTTTTCTCATCATTGAAGAGTGTTTTTCCTTAACAATCTTCACCGCTCCCCTCTTTCTTCTTTGTTTTTTACTGCCATCACAAGTAACCGCTACCACTGATGTTGTCATTTGTCACCAGCTATGGACTCTCTCATCATCCTTTGTGCAACTGGTCAGCTTGAAAATACTACTTCATATTGAAAGAAAGTACAGAAAATTGCATTAATTCCCGTGCAGGGGGCAGCAGCAGGTTTGTCAATCACATCGTATTTGAACATTCATATTACTGCAATGATCTCAACTTAAAGAACACAAGGAATCAAAATCAGAAGGTAATTTTCTGTACAGCTTCCTTTTGCAACAATGTATTTGTATTAATCAAAACATCCTTAAAATTTACACCATTTTCTACAAAAAGAATCACTGATAACTAAGCACTGGCTCTATGCTATACAAAAAAAAAAATTAAAAAAAATAAAAAATCACTCCCCTCAAAGATTCTAAAAATTCCAAAAGCAGAAGCTACATTTTGAAGGATTCCAATAGCCACATGGATATTTTTCTTTTGGCTCAGCTAAAAAATGAAAAACTAAAAACACTGTACACTTCTGGTTTGTCAGGCTTGCAGGTTCATGTGATCCACACACTGTGTAAACCAGAAACAGGTAATCAGCAATTAAACAATATCCTTGGTTTTAAAATATATATTAGCAATACAAAACATGCTGGTATTATTCTCAACATATGAAATATCCTTTAATATAATTTATGGCTTATATATATGTCATTGACTGCAGGGATGTACTCATTCTTTCTTTTTGGTAAAGTCATATGGTTTCCACCACTGTGCAAACTGCAACACCTTCTTCCTCTGATCCTCAAAATTCTGTCTGATTCCTTTTCTCCAGAGCCACGGTTCCAAGTCCAGCATGCCACCAATTATTTCCTTTGCAAGTAGAACAAAGATAGATAATGATAAATGCAAAATTACCATATCACTGAAGACTATTTTATCACAGAATATAGAAATACATATTTTCAAATTATGACATTATTTGTCACTGTTTTCTTCAACTGCTAGTTATCAAAACTGGAAATTCTGAAAAATATACCAATTCAAAAATTAGAACTGTAGTGCCTAGATAGTTGCCTCAGCAAAATTCTTTTAAGTACAGCATAGCAATGCACTACATAAATAACCTAACATTGCAAGACTGTTAATATATTAGCACATTTCTGAGAAAAAAAAAGTTCGTAACAAAGAAAGCTGCCCACTTTGCTCTTAACTCTTCCTGAAATAAGTTGTATTTCTCTCCCCTCACTCTTTTATGTTTTTGCAGTATTGACTCTCTCAATAAATGACTGCTGTGACATAACAAAGAAAGGAAGATTTTATTGCAGCTCTTCCAGTATATACTATACTCTCTAAACTACATGGAGTGATTTTAACCACACATGGCTATATACTAGGAGTTGTCTGTGAGTTTGTATGTGTATGCACCCTAATTTATAAAAGCAGAAGCCATTGCACTTATATGAGAATACTCTGGTCATGAAAAACCTCTTTTTTTTCTTATTCTTCTTAAGGCGATGCTAGTATTTTCCATCTATTAGACTATATGTCAAATATCTGTTCCTGTTAATTCAAAAGAAACATGGATCTAGAATCACATTCTGGGTATCAGCCAGGGAAGAAATCAATTATTCCTTTATTCAACAAGCTAAGTTACAATGACTCACCAAGAAAAACCAGCTAATAAATTGGGATAAGGAACATGAAAGTGACTCTTCTGGCAGCACCTGTTTTAATTACTTAGATTTTACAAAATAGAGTATGATTGGTAGATTGATCTTTTACAAGACAATACCTTTCCAAAGTAATGAGGGAACTTGTGTTCATCTTCAATGACGTGAGCAAATCCTCCTTGAAGGCCAAAGTCCACAGAAAAGTACGGCAATCCTTTAGGAACCTATACACACAAACCCACATTTTCAGACGTTTAACAGACTGTAGGGATTTAGTTAACCTCTTCACAACTTAATGAATTTGAAAGTGGTTTTACAGTTGATATTATCATGTTTTCCTTTAAACCACCACTCAAACCAAGTATGTACAGTATAAAATTATGACAGAGACACGGTAAAACAAATTGGCAAGGGGAAAGAACAACACAAAACAGCTAGATAAAAATACACTGAAAACTGAAAAGATGATTGCTGGGTGGCAGAACCTCCAAGAGGACACCACTTCAGCACCTGGTAAGAGATGCGGAGGGACGAGGCAGCAGCATGCACACTGAGCAAATGTCTTCTTGACTCCACACCTCTGAATTACATGGGTTGAGAAGAAATTTAAAGACAACCACCAGCAAGTTGGATTTATTAAAGATAAGGTGTCGTGTGATAACAGGAAATATTTACCCAGAGGAAATGTTGACGCTCAGAGGGATGGGGAAATACCTCTGTGGTGAATACAGTACCAGAAAACCCGACTACATGACTGGAAGTTATCATTAACCTGACAAATCAGATAATTTAACAATTCAGTCAGCCTACAAAGGAGACACTGGTTATCCTGCCACAAGGAAAGACCCTTCAGTCTGACAGAGTTCATTTTCCTACAGTATAGCAAGTACTTTCTGCTGTTTCACTGCAACAAGTTATTTTACACTCTTGTAATTGTTGAGGATGTTCCTGTACAGATAAGATTTACAAAGCCTCAAATTCATAAGCATTTCCTCTGCTACAGTCCAAATAACTGCACAATTTTCACAAGGCATGTTCCATACATTACTTCAAAATTCATTCTAAAAATAATTAAGATTTATCACAGAGGGACAATGTAGCATAACAGGAAACACAGAACATTTTAAACAAACTAAATGAATCATTAAATAATGAAAAATGGGTCAGCAGGTTAAATCTTTACGAAAACGTTAGCTTTCTCTTATTTGTGTCTAGCGATATATTGAGTCTGGCTGGGACAGTTAATTTTTATCACAGCAGACGAAATGGTGCTGAATTTTGGACTGGTAATTAAACTAGTGTCAATAACATGCCAGTGTTTGGGCTATTGCTGAACAGTGCTCTCTGCCAGGTCAGCTCTCCTGACTGTGTCCACTCTCAGCCCACTGCCCACCCCAGCTCCCTCGCTGCAGGGAGCAGAGGGAGAAGCAGAGAAGGCCACAATGCTCTGCAAGGGCTGGATGCCTAGGCTCTGCCTCTGGACACCATAGTTCCAATTTCTACACACAATCCACCCATTAGATGATGTCTCAACCATATCTGACCCTTCTTCCAGGCACCACCATCCCCTAATACAATTCTCCAATTTCCCAAACCTCAGCTCAGTCTCTAAACTGTACTCTCATATCTTCCTGAAGGCTACAGGCATTTCTTTTATCCTAAAATAACGTTAAAATCACACAACTGTGTAAGAAATTACACTCAGATGTATTTTATTAATTTAAAGAACTGTCATGACTTAATTTGAAAACTGGCCTACCTTTAAATGGGTATATAACACAGCCACAAAAATGTATGGGTAAGAAGATTCTTAAAGAAATCAAATGTCCTGATGCCCTACTATGTATCAAGAAAATTATACTTCATTTACTTGTGACTGATATTGGCCTTCCCTGTTCTGAACACCAATGAGCAGAAGATATCCAAAACATACCTATTTTGTTGTCTGTTTACATCCACCTGAAGTTTAAAGTCTTCCCCAAGTCCTTCCTACAAATTAATTTAATTCCTTCTTGTCTGCACCCAATAATGCTAGCAAACAACTAAGTACTATCTTCTTTAAGACAACCTCCTATATACAGAAAACCACCATCACATACCATTTCAGTCTTTTCTTTCCTAGACTGCACAACTCCTAACCAGTTTCTTTAGTTAAGTTTTCTAACCCATGCTGTCCTCTTCTGTAACTGTCTTAAAACACTGTGCTCAAAACCAGACCCAAATTTTCCAGGTGAAGCTCCACCACTTTGAATAAGATGACCCATAACGGATTCCCATTATATTTACATGACATTTCAGCTTATGTGGCAGAATAAATTTTCTCTTTTTGTTACATTTGCTACCACTGTTGGTTTACTTCAAGAGTCATCATAATATTCAAAGCCTGTCCTACCATACTGTGACCCAGTCCCTTACTCTTCTGCATTTCATTTCTCTCTCTTTGTCATATCAGGCTTCATGTCTCATTTTTAAAACCCATCTTTTCTTTCTCCTAAACTAGGATTTTTTTTTTAGTGCAAAGGTGCTATATTTACTAAAAGACACTCTCAGAAATTAAGTATTATTATCACATAGTAGTAAACTACCTGTGGTAAAGTCTATATATCACACATCTTTAATATTAAAAAGACGGAACAATCTTTGAACTTAAGTGTTTCAGCATTATTCCTTTAAGATTTGTATATACAAAGATGTTTCAGTTTAGTATCCAGGAGACAGACACAGTACTGTTTCCTTGTTTTATAAAAAAAAGACTTATAATGTTATTTATATTTTTGCCTCATAAACTTCATAAAACAAAAGGCCATTCTAGGTCAATGAAGAAGACACATCATATTTTTTCCAGGAAAGTAACTTGCGAATCTTTCATCTACCTTAATTTTTAAAGTTAATCAAGAAAATTATGCTGGTACATGTCCTCAAAGTGCCAGCTTTGTTCTCAACAAATGCTTGCAGCTCAGTCCACCTGTTTTTGAAGCAAATGGAAATCTTTTCCATAATGTCAGTTAGCAGTTAGTAGTAACAAAAAAAGACAAGAAGAATTTGCTGAGAAATTCAGTGTTCAATACATTTCATTACTTACAGATTTACGAATATCTTTTGAAGAAAGATCAATTAACTTCTTGTTTACGGACCACTCTTCATCAGACTCCATTATAGCTTTCTGTAAAATCATTTTATCTCAATGTGAAAATAGTCCTTCATACCATAAGCAAAGAAATAACTTTTCAATGTAGTGAAGTACATTGCACTGCAAGTACCACTTATTTCTTAACAAAGTAACTCTATTTTTTACAACCTTTCTGATTTCCAGAAGTTACATACTTTATAAAGGGGGCATATAAGATCCTCAAACTCACTTAATTATATTCCTTTTTTTTTTTTTTTAAATTTAACTTTTGGCTGACACAAATTATCTCTAACAAGTCTAAACTAAAAGGTCACATTCTCTTTTTACTAAACTCAGACAAAACCTCTTATGAACTCATTACAGTATATTAAGACTTTTTTTTCTTTTTTAAACACTAAGAGAATCCAGCTTAGAAGGCTGATTGCACCTAAAAACCTTTAAAGTTGCCTCTGTATCCTCCATAGTATGGAAGTGGGTATAGTGTAGCATAGTGTAGGTACCTTCTAAATTTCATTTGCTATGTACTTTAACAGTAGAACCTTCTGAAATAAAGTTTTATGCACATGACATTGCATTAAATCTTGTACTTTGTCTTTCCTTTAGCATTCAGACAAAATGCAAATTTTACCAGTACTAGGAGCATAGCAATTAAATCAACCAGGTGGAGAGTTTCAAATGTGGTAGAAGCTCGTGCATTGCTGTTCATCCTACTGACTGCTCCACTTCACAGAAAACCAATCACATTATTTATTTCCAGAAAACAAAAATAATATTTCAAAGAACAAATAAAATAATTTAGTTATAAAAGGTAAATCATGATTGAGCTGCCAAAAGCCGAAAGGCCTCAGTTCCAGGCAGAAGGTTCAATGAGGCTTTCATTACGGGGTCAGCGGAAAGAGACCAGAAAAGCTATGGAGGAAGTAGCTATCATGCTGTTTAATGTTCATTGGAGACCTAAGACACATGTAAAATTTGGGCCTACAGAAATAAAATGGGGATGAAACATTATATATTGGTATTTCTTAAAACAGTTGACATTACTTTCTCATTTTATCCTTGACAAGGCACATATATGGGGTTTTAAGTTTATACTACAGGACTTTAGTGAGAAGTATTGCAATCCTTACAGCACTTCAAGAAACTACAGGTTCTCTCATACTCTTCCAGCATTTGTCAGTGCAGCCAGACTTGAGGCAACTGCATAGTGACACAGAGCTCTTCTACCGACTACTTAAAAACAGAATTACCTCACAAGGCTTGTTTTAAGATCAAGGAATAGGATCAAAGAATGGATCAAGAAGTAGGATCAAAGAATCCATCTTTTCAAAAATAGGACTTGAATATCAAAAAAAGTTTTCCAGAAATAGATAAATTATGATAAATACATTCAAATGACCTAAGAAACAAAATTTTCATGTACCTTAAAGTAGATTGGAGCCATATCTCCTACTTCTTTTGGAAGAGGAATGCATTCATATACCATGTGATACCGTTTCTTCATACTCATGTTTGTTTCTAGAAACACACAGTCCAAGTCTTTAGCTTCAAACATTTTCACCAGTGCATTTCTGAACATCTGTTTAAAAGAAAAAAAAGCATAATTTGAGTTAGCCTTTCAAAGTTTTCAGATATAATATTTTATATTATTTCACTAATAGATATTCATAATAAACTCATAAAATGGATAACAGCAGCAATCATACTAGGAAAATTCCATATTATTCAACAAGCTAACATTAAGTATATTTCCTAAGATACAAAGATAGGAAGTCTAGAAAACTATTGTGAAATACACATTATGTTTAACACTACAGACTCAGTTTTAATAAATACCACAAACTTTTACAGTTGAAGAAAAAACTACATTGAACTTTGTAACTGTGACACTCCATAAAACAATGTTAATTAAAAGAGTTTAGGATAAATAGAAGATATAGAATAAACATATTTATCACTTTTCCCCATGCTCTGTTGCTCCTCCTGATCCCTGCTTGTTGCTTCTTATACAACTTTCGTAGGCATTTCTATCACACAGAAAATAACTCCTTTCCCTTCCTGCTTGGGAGGAGTGTAATTCACTAGGAAACACCATATAAAATTAAATCAGACATGAGAATCAACATGGGGAGCAAACCTGCAAAGTCAGAGAATCCACCTGCCAGGCTTGAGGCAAGATCAATGTTACTTAAACCCTTTCAAACTCATGAACTAACCTGATTTTAAATCTAAGCAACTGCAAGCAATGAAGCCTTTCTCTAGTCTGAAACAGTATCCAATATTTTGATACAAGAGGTTGCAAGTTGTTTTCCGTTTGTAATAATCCTGATGGCTAGAGGGAGAAGACCAATCACTGTCAATCTCTTAGGTAGAACTTTCTTACATTCCACCCTTGATTTTCCTTTTCCAAATAAAACAGAACTCAAAATATCTTCATAAGAGAATTGGAAAGCATGACCCACCATGCTTGGCACTTTATTCTAATAATTGTTTCCAAAAAAGTAGGATTTGAAGAAGAATGAGATAGTTCTCTCTCAACTGACATCAAACCAAATCCCAGATTACGTTAAAAAAACCTGAAGATATGTAAACAACATATCTTCAGCTGGTGTTTCACTATAACTGATCTTTCTGCCCTGACAATCCTTTTCTTTTCCTTGGCACTCCAAAGGAAATCCTAACTGCCAAGCCAGTTATTGCACTTTCTGTCAGGGATCAGCTGTACCTACATAACCCTGGGAGATGTTCCTCTAACCTAGTTTCAAAGACCTCCAAAAACAGAGGTTCTGCAGCATTCCAGGCAACTCTTTCTAGTTCTTATAAATTAGAACTTTTCTTCCATGTTTACCCTGCATCTCCCTTTTTCAGTTTTTGACCACTAATTGTCATCCATAACGCAAGAATGCTCTGCCCCTTAGTGGAATCAGAAAAGAGCTGCCATGCAGGAAATTACGAAAGCAGGTACTTATGATAAGTATATTATTATTAAAAACATTATTTTACAGAATTGTTAGAACATCAGACAGTTTCTCAGCTGACCTGGATTTCTTCCCAGATGTCTTCATCCAAAAGAGTGGCTGCAGTATGGTGCTGTAGAGGGGCTATCAGACAGTGACCTTCAGTAAGGGACTGGTTGCTTGGTAGAGACAAGTATACCTATAAAAAGCAAAACAAAACTAAAGTATTTATTATTATTATTATTTAGTAGTAGTAGTATTATTTATTCTAGCATTAAAAATCTTCCCATTTCTAAGGCTAAGAAATACATAATTTTCTAAAATTCAAATCAATAGAAGCCATTACCTTCTAATTACAGCAAGGTATTAGTAATTTTAGTGTTCTAAAAAGGTCCCATTGTCCATCAGTAGCTCCAATGAACTAGTAGTGTCTAGAGAGCAGCTCCACCAACAAGGCAGTAACATCAGACTTACAGACCGACCGGTATCCTAACTATTATGAAATCACACTGTTTAGTCAATTTCAATATATTTTTTATACAGAAGTGTATATATCTGTATGCATTTTAATAAAATATAATTTCTATATAAAATGCATATAAATATATCTACATATATCTATTAGACATATAAACACACATATATACACACAGATATATCCAAATACAGATACATATCTGCATGCATTTTATATATATGCACATATAATCTATCTATATAAAGAAATAAGTGCAATGTACCATGAAACATATATATGCATTTAATTCCTTGACCAATACAAAGTTTCAAATTAAATTAAAACATCAATAGTAAATGAAAACTTTGGAGAAAGAATGAGAAAAAAGAGCTTATACTGAAGGATTTCATATGTTATAAATCCAAATATTTATGCAACATTTAAAAACATTAACAGAAACAAGAAGGATTGCTGTACCAAACTTCTGTCTATGTCAAAGGATTTTAGGCTTAAAAATTGCATTTTCTACTTAATTTTCTTTGATATAATTGAGATACAATTCTTCACCAGTTCAAATTTCCTCCAGCGGAGTGTGACTTAGTCTTACACAAATCCACCTACAGTCTAATCTCTGCACTCAGACCTTTCATTATTGCTCCGTCTTCCACAAATCTGAAGTTCTAATATCAAATATTAGTTTTATAATTCTTGACGGATTTATATCTTTTTCTCCTTCACCCTTGAGAAACTTGTGAAATCAATTGGAAGGGTAAGGAAAATAAGATGCAGAACAATGAATAATTTCCTAGAAGCAATTTTGTTCTTAATCTTAGGCATTCGAGCATTAACATTGCCATGCTTTATTTTTTTTTTATTTTTGCATTTGTGTTAAATTGCTATTTTCTTACTTTGGTGCCAATTGCAATAATAAGATGTTTAGAAAGTTCACTGCTTTCAAAGCAGTATGGGCACTTTTCCATGCGTGCAGCAAGCCGCTGGTGCTCTTGTATTGCTTTTCTTCTTTGTATTTCTCCCATTTCCCCACTGCGCGCTCTTTTGGCTGCTTCAGAAACAAACATGTCATCCAGAGTGTAGTACTCTCTGTCGGTTTTTTCCATGAACTGAAAAGATACATGGAAAAATTATGTGTATATATGAATAAGCAAGAAAAAATACTTAGCTCTTTCTAGTATCCTTTATTGAGAAACACAAAGTATGTAAGGAATAGCATTGCTTACTCCCATATGGCACCTGCGGCACATGCAATCATCAGGTGCAACTCCTGAGAGCAGTCATACACAATCTCAGACAGCATCGGTATTAAAATATAGATTTACGACAGCAGTGAGAAGAGTATATTACTATATTCTATCTCAAGTTAAGGGCTAGGTATTTCAATATTATCTTGACATATCATCAGCTTTAAAGAGATGCACAGTTTTTAAAATCATATAATATATTTTATCTCGGCCTTCCCCCTCCTTCTCCTCCTCTCCTATTATGACTACCACTATCCATTAAATCACCTCTTGTGAAATAACTAGACCATGACTCTGCACCTCATATTCATATTCTGTTAAAACATTCCAAGTTATTCTTACCAAGTCAACAGTACTAAGTCATTTTCTGACAAAAACAGTCTTTGTCTTCAATATTTAGTCTCTCTTGAGCACACCTTTTGCTAGATATGGATAACGAACACAGCTAGCACATTACCAGAAACAAGGCTGAATGATCCACAGCCTTTTTGTTTGCTCCATTAATTACTACAGTTTAGTTAAATATGCCACATTCGAAAGGAAACTCTGAAATACTAAATTTGTTATGAAGACATGCTTGAGGGTCAGTGGTATCTTACAGGATCTTAGCCGTGGAAAACCACACAAACTGGATACGTCTCACCTAGATGGTATCTGGGACGGGTGGAATCAGTAGACAGGAACAGAGGAACTGAAGGTGACACAGGACATGGTAAGAAGGTGGGCTTATGGCAACAGCAACAATAGACAATGATTGGGAAGGAAAGCAAGAAAAGTATGGGCTCGTGGGACTCAAACCCAAATGACAGTATATTTCACTAAGTTTCATAACTCACAGAACACTTTGTATGTGTATACATACATATAAAATTAAGCTTATTGATTTTTTTTTATTTTGATGACAAACAAATCCCATGATTGTAAAGATTAAGTTTTTAAATTACTTCAGACTTTTTAAAGGATGTTTCTGCTTTAGCTACTCTACACAACTTTAAAATTGTTGCCATTAATACCCTAAACATTCAACACATATAAATAAAGCAAATGTAAAAAGTAGCCAAAGGAATTTTTTTCTCTTTAAATGAAATGCTAGTGCTGCAATACTTTTACGCTATAGTTGACTGTAATTTTACCTTGAATAGTTTCAGTAATCTCCTTATCACAATGTCAAGGAGGAAAAAAAACCCAGTACACTATACACATTTTTTGATATTGGAAGAGCTGGTCCTACAGAGTCTTGGTAGATTAATGTATGAGTAGTTTTGAATTACTAAGGAAAGGGTATTAGTGTCTTAACAAGTCCTAAAATATTTTAGAATACTGACTGCAGAAGCCCTAGCAAAGGACTAATGTTAGCTGAAGGCATTTTGAAGGCATACTGTCACAGTTGAAACACAGTCTCCAAATAAAAGAATCTTCCAAATATCCCAGGTGTAGCCTGTGTAGATAACCCGATACGAAAAGAAATTAAGACTTTATTTTGTAGTGTAGATAACTTCAAAACACAGACAACAGCTCTTGCTTTTCCTGAACACTGCAATTCTCTATCACAGACCAACAGCTTATTTTATATATGCTCAGTATTTCTGTCACCAGAAAACTGAAGAGCAGCCTCCTTAATATCACTTTATTTAGCTATAATACATTTAACTGCTTATGCGCATTTCCTACTGGAAGCCACTGCAGACTAAAATCAACAGTTCAATACTTCAACTCTCTTGTTCTGTTTTACTACAATGCTGTGATATATATTTAAAATAAACAGGAGATTCCTGAGTTGTAGAAAAAAATACTTAGTGGTTTGGGTGTGTCTGTTCTTCTATCACATAAGCATAATAAAGGTAAAACTGGAGCTTAAGCAGAAGACAGATCAAATAAGAACTACCCACAGAATGTTGTGTTATTACCAAAAGTAAAGGTTTACTTTTTTTTTAAATAAAAAAAATCTGCCATGAGAATGCAAATACACATGAAACAAGACAGCTGTCAGACTACAAAGAAAAGGAAGAGTGGAAAACAAAACATCAGGGATATCAGGAATATCACATGCAGCACAGAATACAATTACTGTTTTGCTTTCCTTGCGCTTAGAAGTAATAATGGAAATTCCTGGTTTGTTATGCATAACCCCTTTAAAATAGTAGTACTTTTCAAAACACCTTAAAAATACGTTACAGATCTTCTTATACAAGTCCCTTATGTCACAGGAATACAAGTCAAGAATCCTGTCCAGTGATGAAATAAATATTCATCTTATTAAACGGGCTGGATGATGTCTTTCTTCAACAATGGAAAAAGTGCTATATGCAATAAGACACTTGGGACCCAAAAGACAATGCTCATCCAAAAAGCAGTGAACTTTAAAAAAGTAAGTGCTGTCTAAAGATCAGATTTGGTTTCTCGTGGTAGAGTCATGACCAACAGATCACTATATTTCAAACTGTAATTCAGTAAGACCAAAAAGAAATTATGTTGCTGTTCTTCAAGAACTGTACTCTTCTACATCATGCTGGATGCAATATGAAAAAATATTCATAATTCAATGACTCAAACCTAAGAGTAGGTCTGAAGCAATATAAAGTCCAATACATGACCTTGAGTGAAGTCAATGAAAACAGGCACAATTCAGGACTTAAAAAAAAAATCCAAACAAACAAACAAACAAAAAAAAGCTACAATCAGAACAAAACAGGAAAAGGAACAAAGCAAACCAATCAACCAGCCATTGGCAAAAGTTGGAGTCACCCAAAAGAATGGTGAGAAGGACTCCCGAGTTCCACCTGAGAGTTCTCCTGGGGCTTCCTAGAAATCATAGAATCATAGAATGGTTTGGGTTGGAAAGGACCTTAAAGATCATCGAATCCCAACCCCCCCTGCCATGCGCAGGGACACCCTCCACTAGACCAGGTTGCTCAAAGCCTCATCCAGCCTGGCCTTGAACACCTCCAGGGATGGGGCATCCACAGCTTCCCTGGGCAACCTGTTCCAGTGCCTCACCACCCTCAATGGTAGTATTTCAGAATTCAAAATTAGAGGTCCTCAAAGTGAAGGGAAACAGTGGAAAAGATTAAATAACACCGTCACTTCTAATATTACTAAATGGGCTACATACATAAGTAGAATCACGTGCATACAAACTCCTTGAATGTAAGTTCCTACTGCCACCCGGATCCCACCCAAGGTCTGTGCATCAGGCTAGAGTAAGCCAGTGGAGAGTCTTAAACAAAATTTTGGATTTTTCCTGGCAATAAAAAGATGTGTAGAAGAGTTCCTCATACAGCTCGAGGCTATGGGAGCTAGACAGCATTCCACTTCTGGTTTAAGATGTAATATATGTTGGTCAACAGAATTAGATGAAGCACATTGGGGAAGGAAGTAAAATAAACATAAGATTACTTTGGAGAAGGAAAGGAACAAGAAAAGGTAGGTAGCAATGCAGCATTTTGGGGAGAAAAGCCATAGTAAAGAGATATTTAGAGAAGGAGTATTCATAGATCTGGTTCAAATCAACTCCACCACACAGTCTCTACCAGCAACAAAATTAGAGATCCCATTGCAGTACTAATGAATAACAAGATAATACAGAATGTAAGGCAGTTCAAGAAGCCAACACCCCAGCTTCAAAGACATTAAACAAAAGCTTGAAATAAGCAGGGTGTAAGAAAAAAAGTTATTTTAAAGATTTCAACCTGCTTGCGTAATAAAAAAAAAAAAGGCTAGTCATTATTAATTCACGTTCAACTGGATGCTCTTGAAGCACTATACCTTTCCCTCACTGAAGAAAAACAGACAAGGACAAAGTGGAAAAATGAGGGGTTATTTTTTTCCCCCTTCTCATACCTTTAAGGAGAAGTTTACGAGACCTTTATTCAAGTCATTAAGTCTAGCACATCAATGCACAGTGCCATTATATGGCAGTTCTGAGACAAGAGACCAAGTTACAGATGGTCACTCCATCCCCGAATTTTAATTTCTTGCTGTGTTTTACCACAACCTTTAGATGACTTTAAAAGGGTGTTAAAATGGGATATATTTTCATGTCTGAAAACAAGAGTCATGAAAGAAGTAGGAATTTCTTTGCAACTCCCATATTACCACTGTATCCTTCCAACACACCTCAAAACAGTTCAGGAAGTACAGAAACCTAAAAACAGGCAAAAACATGATCCAGCAAGAATTGTGTATTCCTGATGAAATAAGATATGATATGAATGTAAGTGGGAAAATCCATTCAGTGATGTTTTCTGCCTTAAAAACAAACAAAAAACCACTAAAGACATTTAGCGTGCAGTATAGGAATAGAAGAAATGAACATCACTAACACATTATTTGCCAGTAGCAATGAAAAATAAAGTTGGTTTTTTTAAGAGCATAATTCCTTAAATATTATCATCTATCTCTCAAATCATACAAATGCCAAACATCAATGTGTCAGAACTGAAATAAAATAAAATATAGTTGCTACTATAGCAGACTAGAGAGTACTCTTCAACTGCTACTCTAAATATTAGCCTTTTTGAAAAGTTATTCCAGAAGAAAATGGAAGTTCTCTTTTAAAAAAATTGTACTCTTACTTTTACAGGTGTCCACTGTGTTTGGCCAGTTGCATTATTTGGCTATAACAAAATCTCTCCAAACCAGTTAAGGGGGAATTGAAAGAACAAGAAGAGAGTGTTCTTCAAGATGCCAGAAGGAAAGCAAGTAATAATTTAAAAACTGGTTTATTTCATACATATCTTCTTCCATACAAAAGACAGAGCTAGTACAAATACAAAGAAGGAACTAAGCTGATGTATTAGATTCACTGGAGAGCTGCTGTTCTGCATCACCTGAAGCATGACAGCTGTTAAACGTGAAAGTCA